AGAGAGTACACGCGAATGAGAAGAGGAGTTGGGAGTCGGTGGAGAAAAAAAAAGAGGAAAGAAAAACATGAAGCACGCCAAATTTTCCGGGAAACGCCGGAAACTGAGGATAAAGTTCGGGCCAAAGGATGCGACAGCTGGTCAAATACTGGCTGGGGATCGACTACATGGCGTCAAAGGCAGACAGGGGGTTTCAGTTCAGGATGCCATGGAGGTTTTTCCAGAGAGCGATCATCTCGCTTCAGCAATTCATCCTTCAGCTTTCTAATCAACGGAATCAGCGACTTGACTTGATAAAACTTTCCTTTGATCTCTTTTTCTTTGCGAATGGGAGATTGGTAATCATTCCATTTTTCCATTCTCTAATCTTCTTCGGAAATTAGTTAGAATGTCATAAAACGTCGAGATGCGGATTTTTTTTTGGAGGGTACGTTTTTATGTTGAGAATAATTTTGTAAAAATATTTTTGCAATTCTGGTTGGAAGAAAACGGTTGAAGTAGTAGATAGAAATCTGAAAGTTTGAGTCATAAGTGGAGCACATCTGCCTGAAATTTCAGAGCAATCGACTCAGTAGTTTTTTAGATACAACGATTTTGACACGAACAACGGTTTTCCCCTCCAATGATATCAAATTGTGTTCTGTTTTTACGACTTGACTCAAGTAGGGATCCTACTTGACTAAAGTAAAACCTAAAACTTCAAAAAAATTCTTGATTCGCTTTGAATTTTTCATTTGATTTCAGTGAGATTGAATTGAACCAAAAATCTATTGGATTCAAGTAGATTTTATGAACTTGATCCAAGTAGAGACTTTAGTCAATGGAAGTAGGAGATTCATCCACAAAATTTCTCTTTGTCGGTGGAGTCGAACTTTAGACTGATTTTCGCTCTTTTTGAATCAAATAGGAATTAATTATTGAATTGATGAATTGATGAATTGATGAATTGCCTCAAGGAATTTTTTTTCTGGGTGAAGTCGAATTTCGGACTGATTTTGAATCAAGTTCGAATTAATTCCTGAATGAATACTCTGGTGGATTGATTCGAAGAATTTTTTTTCTGAGTGGAGTCGAGATTTTGATGGATTTTTAATCAATTAAGAGTGAAGTCTTGAATGAATGCTCAATGAATTCATCAAATTGATTCCACGAATATTTTACCGGATGAATTCGAAATTTAAACGGATTTTCACCGAAAATTCGTTGGTCCGGATGAATTTTTTTGAGAAAAAAGTTGAGAGCCCCGGGGATATTTTGGCGGGCCGCAGGCGTGAATACGGCTGACCGGACAAATTCGATCGTTGTCGAGCGTTTGACGGCTATTGGACAGAGATATATTCGGTTACCGTGGCTTAATACGAGACCCAAACCTGTAACACGATAACTCCACGTTAACGTCTTTTTTTCCCCTCCCCCAGAGTCTGTGATGGAAAGGACGGGTGGAAAGGATGATAAACTTGAGAAATAATAAAATGGGGAAAAGTAGAAAGGAGGTCATTGGATATGACACAGGGAGAGGGGAGGGGAAAGGTCAGAGAGGTGTTCAATGCTGGAATGAAGAGAGATTGGGGGCAACCTTGGTGTTTTAAATAATTAAATAACTGTGGAGGAATGGGGTGGCTGTCAAGGACAGAGACAGAGTACTTCGAAGCATCTCCATGGTTCTTCATTGTAAGTGATGAATTATTCGGTATTCCGTTCATAAATGCGGATAGTATATCGATTTTCGGATCGATTCTTCAGTCGCTATTTCATCGGGAAAATTTAAGAAAAATTCGTACTCATTTCCATTCTACTCTACCTCACGATTTCATTTTTGGCAAAGGACTGATTTTTTTTTTTTGGAGCTGAAGAAATTTCACTCCTTGATTTTTGAGATAATTTTCCAACTTTTCTCCTTGATTTTCATTGAATACTTCTCTGGGAAATTTCGATTACACGCAAACCCAAAAATTTTGGCGAGTGAATCCGACCTGATAATATCCCTGACATCTTTTTTCTCATCGCAATAAGATATTTTTCTAGAAGATTATTATTCAACAAATGACCTCACATGAGCCTCAACAACAATCATTAACATCCGCAATTATTCCAAATGATTCAATAAAATGCGTTACAGCCCACTAAAAAAATCCACGAAATTCCGGTGCTATAAATCAACTGATCCACCATAACTGCAATGTTTACGTGAAAAAAAAGCCCGGACTTGGACCGACTAAAAGTGGCAGCCGGAAGAAATACTTCCCAAAAAATTATTTTCTGGCTCAAAACGAGACCCTTGAAATCTATTTTCTCCCAATATATGAGGAAAATCGCGGTGTGCCATTGGTGTGGATCGAAATCGGATGGAGAGAAAAGGAGGCACTCCAAAAAAAAAAGCCAAGCTCATTTGGTAGGGGTTCTCCACATGTATTGAGATACATACAGACAGAGGATAGGTACGCCACCGGCAAAATGGATAAAGTCCACACCTGGCCTCCGGATGTTTGACGGCGGCACGCGCTACACTCTCTTCACCTCTCGTTCTCTTTCCTCATTGGCATCAGCCAAATGCATAACCTCTTCTTCTCACTCGCATTACAGCCCATACACACCTGCCCCATCAGACCCAACATGTACGTTCCTGTATACTAACCGGAGAGGGTCATAAATGCATATAACGTAGGATTACTACCCCGAAGGAACGCGCCTCAGCCCAAAAATCAGCCCAAAAAATTTATCGATGGCTGGGTGAGATTGTTGAACGAGGACAGAATTTGCAAGATGAATTATTCCATTCAAACGAAAAAACAGGGGAGGAAAACATCACACCCGGCGTTTGCCCCCCTCCAATACTCTCGATCAATCGATAAATCATGTAGTTCGATTGACTTATTATTTTTCGCCGTTAATTGATTTAGGAATGGTTGATTTCGATCTTCTGTCTCGACCGATTATTTCGTCATCTTCGTCGTCTAATTGGTTCAAACAATTTTATTAATTAAATTCCTAGATACCTGTCCTGAATTTACGGATTGATTATAAAAAATTATATTCCGGGAAGTTTTCACGTTAAAACGTCGAGACGAAGGGAATTATAAAAATAACATTTACTGCATTAGTACTTCTGGATAAATGACAGTTTTCACCTTATGGAATGTACCATAAAATTTATCATAACAGCGATGACAACTTCTGACGCAGTTCTCCCCTCATAAATGAACGCATAAAACTCCTAAAACATTTATTCCCTCCATTTGCCTGTTAAGTACCGAATAGAAGAAATTTCATATAAATTCAAGTGCTGTACTAGTTGAATGTCGTTGTGCAATAAAAAAAAAAATGACATTCCACGGAGTAGATGCAATCACCTACGTAAATCTTATCGATGCATCATACCGAGTTAGACAACATATATCGATAACTCCAGCACGTGCTGGTATTATGACGCTGACTTTAAATAACTGCAGCGTCATTCAATAGCAGAAGAATGATTGGCATATGTGTCACTAATCATGAGCTAGTTGATACTGAAAATTCACTGGCAACAGTCGAGTCACTAACATATTCTCAGACTCAAACTCAATCATAGATACACTTGGGCTAGACACGTATGGGGGTAAAAATTTCGTGTCGAAGACCGAACCAGACGGCACGCAGACAGACTGAACTATTACTGGATCGGTCTGTGCAAAAATGGATACTTGAAAGCCGGCAACACCGACGGGATACACAAGTTAAAGTGTAAAGTCCATCTACAAGGACAAAAATACACTAATGTTGTCTGTCCCGTGGCGCAAGTGTAGGTGGTTGTTGCTTCTTGCCAAAAATATTATTCAAGTCCATCCCTCTGACACCCTCAGACACCCACTAGCCCTCGTTTTTCAATAAATATCAAATCAATTTCCATTCTCTATGACGCATATAGTTTTTACCTCAAGGATTTATGGAAAACTCTAGGAATACAACGAGAAATATAAAGGGGTAAGCAAATGAGGTCACCGTGTCGAGACGCGCAAATTAACTCTCGCGTTTTGGTTTATTTTCAGTCGATGTATTGTAGTCGTCAAAGACGAAATTTTCGAGTTTTCAGACAGGACTAATCAAAATGTGAGCAAAAATTGAGATTGAGGGATAATTGGGAGAATATCTGGCTTTTTCCTAAGCGTTGGGGAATTTTAATTAAAATTATTCCCAACGTACGTCTAGTGTGTACTTTTAGAAAATCACTAACAAATTCTCCGAATGGGTCTTCAATTCAACCTCTTATTAAAAAATATCTGACGATTCTCCCCTAAGAAAAAAATCCCGGAATTTTGAAGATGAATAAGACGAAAATGAAGATTAAATGGAATAAAAATGTATGCGGCATACACATCGAAAAATCGCCAATCGTTCCACAAGAAAAACCCAAAACTTGAGCGAATCTTCACCATAAATGAAAGAATGAAAATTTCCAATGAAATTGGATTAATCGAAAATCGAGATGACATTGGAACCGAGATTTCCAGAAATTTTCAAAAATTTCCACGAAAGTGAGTAAAGTGGAGAAATTTTCACGAGAACTTTCATGATTGTACGTTTACTAATTTGGCATGTGATGTACGCTGTTACAATTGGGGTTTATTTGGGCCTCGAGAGCGTTGGGGCCATGGCGGCCACCTACTCCAGAGTCTGGATGACGTTGACCCCATGCGCTTCCACTACAGGCGCCCAAAGGCGTCGCAAATCTCAGTCTAAAGGAAAGTATAGCATACTAAGACAAAGATGAGATGAGAAGAATGAGAAGGGATGCCGGGACGCTGACACACCGCGTATATTTGGCTAAAGCTTCTTGACTCTCCTACACTATCATCTACATCCTCAATACACTGCATTTCACTGCCTAACATTTCCTGTCTCCACGATAAGTGTATGAGTTTTATTTTGTCCCTCTTGGAACTACTGCATTCGAGTAAACTTTCATTTTTATTTATGATTTTCTTCGGTTGCAAGCTATTCAGAAAGATATCGGGACTCACCTATTGAAGACCATTTCGCATACGGCATACTGCTGGAGCTTCGCCATCGGATGAAGAGCATCTCCTCCACCCTCGTCGTCTCCACAGCCTCCACTATCGCTCTCATTGTCCCTCTGATATTCACGACAGTTTGAGTCTCCAATCCCTGTATTCTCCATTTCTAAATGCCACAGAAAGAGAAAAAAAAAAATTTGAGATATTTTTTTCGTTACTCATGCAGGACAGACGATCGTCTATATACAACTGATATATCTCGTCTTTGACATTCTTTACCGATTTCTATCCAACACCGAATTACTCCAACCGCAAAATCTCATTTAAGGGCACAAAGCATTCGTTTTGGGACTGTCCAAGACATTTCAATGGGGAGTCGATATTCTGGGGAATGATCGGTTCAACAATTGCCCACTTTACTCCAGTGATTGAATCATTCATTTCAAACGAAATTCGTCAACCATTATCGAATACCAAAATTTAACATGATGAAATCAGTCAAAGACAGAGAGGTAAACCCTAATATATCGAATTCAGTGAGAAATCTCGAAATCTAAGAGACATACCGAAATTTTTGTTATAACCTTTTTTTCAGAACTAATCGAGAGCTACAAAAAATGTTATCAACAAAAATCGCTATCTCTCTCAACTCCAGAGATATTCCGGAAATACTCATGGAAAGTTAAGACATGGTCATATGCATTACAATAACTAATACATCCTGTCAACACAGCAGATTGCAGGGGAATAATGACATCAACTTGTCTTTTTTATCCAATTTGCTTTGGCTTTATTTATTCAACCCCTTCATTCATTTATTTAGCAGTAATCTTGGGAATCTAATATGCAGACGAAACTGTAGATGAGGAGTAAAGGGCAGGAAGATGAGGAAGATGAGAAATATGAGGAATATGAGTAGGACGGTAGTAAAGTAAAAGTAGGGAGGGTAAAAGGGTGTAGAAGGGTGTGGAGGGGTGTAGAATAGGGTATAGTAGAAAGGACGGGCCATCCAGCGAAAGTGGAAAGAGCAGAGGGGCGTGGCAAGATGAATGATCGCAAGACGCGGGAGTATTGATCCCCCGGCAACTGTAGTCTCGTTTTCTGTCTTCCTTCATCCCCATCCCCATCCCCATCCCCCAACCCCCAATTTCAGTATATACACAGTGTACATAGGCAATGGGATAAGACTTGGCCAAATTTTTTCACCCCCTTCATCACCTGCTACACACAACCCCCAAAATTCAGGGTCATCATTTTGTCACATGTGTGTGTAACCCCATTTCACCTTTCACAATCTTGAATATTATCAGCGGTTATAAGTCGCTTCAAACCCTGCCTCTATTCCACCAGCTTTTCATCTCCACCGAGCATCAAATCGATTTAATGATAACCGCTCGCGGATATACGTTGAGTTGGTTATGCATGTGAATAATCATCGATCGAGTGTCGAGTACAAATGGATTAGATGACGTTTCCAATTTCATTTGACGTCAAACAGATTGCTCGGTTGATTAAAATCCGATGAGCGTGTGTTTGGGATAAATTCATGCTGTTGGAAATTCGAATGGTGAGTGCTACGTTTCAGATGTTGATTCTAATACAAGTACTATTCAATTGTAATTGAATTGAATAACATTTTGAATAATTTGAGGATGACTATCGTGAAAATGTGCTGGGGTTATTCGCGGTATCAATTTTCAATGGGTCGTCGTGAATCGATCCACGGAAAAGGAATGAGGGAGTGGGGCACGTGGCAGACCCAAGGTCGTTGTGTCACGAGATTCCAAAAAAAAGCCCTATTTTTCCAGCCCCTTGGTGAAAACCGAGGAAAATCATTTTTCGTTTATCTTCGTAAGTTTTCAATACTCTGGTATGGACAGCTATTTGATAATGTCATTGTGACCAAAGAGAAATTCTCACAGATGACATTTTTACCTCTCATCCAGAAGACGAGGGTAAAAGCTCTTTAAGGCACGTCCCAGGACACGTATCGAGACATATATCTCAGGACATATTCCCCCGTGTTCTTTTACCCTTGAATTAATTATTTGATTGGTTTTAGTTGGAATTGGGCAGTGGTCTAGTCCCCCACAAAACTCCAGAGGATTGGGGATGGAGACCAGGGGAAACCAGTGAAGGAACGACAAAGGAAGAAAAGTGTAAGGAAGGCGCAGAGTTAGATCAATAACAAACCATTATGGACCCTCGGCTCTCTACGTGTAGACGATTCAGGGGAAAGGAAGTGTATAAGGGGTGTAACCCGTTCTTCTAACCTCACCTCCATTCCTCCCCAGGAAGACACGCAATTGCGTATCTTCGAGACAATATTTTTTGTACCTCTCATCATCAATTTTCCACACCAATCCACTATTTCATATCAATAATAGCATTCAGGGGTCCAGTTATTCTTGAATATTCATTGTAATTCCATCGAGTATTAATAATATCCCTTTTAATTACTTATAACAAGCTCACCTTTTTGATGCTGACCAAACGGAATTCTTCAGGTATCCACATGATTGATCACAATTAAATTCGAACGATTACAACTCGATAAATATTTCACACTTGTTTCTGATAATTCGTCAACAACCACTGGATTTTATTTCGAGTGTTACTAGTATCTTTCAGAAGGTCTTTGCACCGTGGGTTCTTCCCCGAATCGGCCATGCGTGGTCGACGAAGTAGAGACCTTTGTCGCCCTTCAAACGAGCCCCTTTATTGACCTGACTCGAGCAAATATTTCCCAGAATTTTTCCCCTCCCAATCAATCCATCACCATCATCACCAAATTCACGATTGAAAAATTGGAGTAAGCCTCAAATGACTGAGTGTCACAGAATTTAATAATTCAACACCTCCAACACCCCATCAACCCCAAGATCACGAACCTCATAAATTCACCATCGCCTCACCCAAAATCCAATAACCAATAAAAAATTCTCCCAAGCATATCGATAAAAATCATCTCCATACTTCTACATCTAGTTCGACGGCCATGCTGGATTCTGTCGTCATGATTTTTCCAACCAATCACCAACATTTTCAACAATAACAACCACCGTATCTCAACCTCTAAAGCACAACCATGTCATCAACCCGAGATCATTCCGAAATGATGCCAATGAACCAATCAATCACAAAACTCATCACTGACACTCACTGATTTTCTAGAGTTCACGTATCAGATTATCTCCACCCATAGGACAATATTCCGAATAGTTAAATAAGCGAATGGACAACCTGTTTAACCGGCTCTTTGACACATAAATATTATTATCAAGTAGATATGTACGGTGTGAGCGATAGGAAGATAGAGACGATTGGGGAAGCGTAAACGAAACGTCGTACGTTAGTTTTGATGAAACACGCCGGTTAGACCGGCGCTCGAGCCAACAGTGGCGATTGGTCGGCATCACTTCTCTGAATGTCGGCTGGCGCCCCCCATTGCCATTTTCCCAGTATTATATCCAGAGCCTCGTAGTGCTTCACCCCAGGGCAGCTCAGTGCGGATAAAATGCGTAAATACCTATTGACGTATGTATCAATTACGAGAGTATTTTGCCTGGAATTCCAACGAAAGACCGATGAGGGGAAAAAAAAATTACGAGAAATGGAGAAAAATTGAGTGAAATGGGGGAATGAGACTCGAGTGTCAAAGTCCTAGGTTGTGACGACAGGAGGGGGCGCCACTGTGTTGGCTGTGTGTTGGCTATGTATTAATACCCAGAGTGTGGTGACGCCCTGGCGATCGATAAACGTGCGTCGGCCACAAGACCACGCCAATATTCGAATTCCCGACCATATATCGCGCGCGTAATGTGTAATAACTAACAATGAGGACAATGAGAGAAGGGGACAGAGGATGTAGGCGTAAACCGATGGAAATAAAAATGCATTCATGGTGGTTCGCACTTCGGTTAAATCAGTCATTGATTCATTCTTCGTGGCTCCACGAATCAAGATTTTTTTACTTTCCTGGAAATTTTTTACTTTCCGAGAATTTTTGGGAATGTCGGTTGAAATATTCTTATTTCATTTTTTTTTTTTCGTTTCAATGGCGAGAAAATTAATGTTTATTGGACGGAGAATTCAGGGGTTTTAGGAATATTTTTAATTTCAGTCAGTGGAAAAGTCGAGAAATTTTTAGCTAGTTGATAATGGAAATTGGAAAAACATTTAAAGAGCGCACGTGCGATTGTGGAATTAAATTCTAAGGGATAAGATGTTCGGTTGGAGACATTGTCTCGAAAATGGAGACTACAGTGTTGAAAAATTAACTCTTGAAATTTGAAAACGAAGAAGAGACAATTCTTGATAATCCGGCATTTACAGGAAAATTATCTAATATAAAACCATTGAAATATTCCCCAATAATTCAGATAATTCTTTTCAATTTCCCAAAGAAAAACAACAGAGAGAAATAACAATTGAGGCTATTTCTGGATCTGCATGATTCATGGCCACGAAAACCAAAATATTAAATCCTCAGTATAATCGAAAAATTCTATAAACGCCGATTTAAAATTGAATGAAAACTCGCACCGACTACATCGAAATTAAAATAAAAATCCGCCAGTGTAACACTGCCAAATACCTCAATAATGGATATAATTTTTTTCAATTTTGAAAGAAAAACAGAGAAAAATAATAATTTAGGCGGTCCGTAAGTCTGCATGATTCATCCCCACGAATCCAAAAATATTGAATCTTAGGAATTCCGAAAAAAATAAAAAATGGAAAACCCATACCGATTACGTAGAAATCCGAAAAACAAATTTCCTCACTAATTCATGATTCTTTCCATTTTTCAAAGGAAAACAACCAAGAAAAATAATAATTTATCCTCTAAATAATAATTCATCCTCCCGAAAACCAAAATATTAAATCCCCAACACGAATGAAAAATTCTACAAATTCCGATTTAAAATAGAAAACCCGCACCGATTTATTAGGTGAAAATTCAAAAAAAAGTGCCCACCAGCGTAACACTGAAATATCCCTCAATGATTCACGTAATTCTTTTTCATTTTTCAAAGGGAAGAATAGAGACGTAGTCACTCATGTGGAATCCGGTCGTTGCACCACTACGTGGTCATTCATTGATTACATCGTATGCAGGCGTGGCGCGTTGACTTTACGCTAAGATTAAACTTAGCGTGATCACGTTGTTCATGAAGAGAGAGGGGAGAAACGAGGAGGGTAAGCTCGATAAAAAAAAAAAAAAAAATTGAATAAAAAATGTTACGAGGTAAGGTTGATACGAATGAATTGAATGGTGCAGTCAACCACCTGAACCCCAACTTTCGGCGGAATCTCGCGTGCATTTTGCCTATACAACTTCAAGTAAACGAAAAAAATTTATATAAAGAAATTCCTGACACGCAATTTCCGACATTACGAACAAAAAAAGAGAACTGAACAAATATATGTACGGGGAGAGGAAGAAACAAACTGATACTGAAACGCATGGGCCGTCTATTAAGCCAGAATGCGGAAGTAGAGCTGGATCGATAAGCGACAAAAATACAGCCTTTTTTCCCCCAACAGAAACTTCTTTTTTTTTTTGTTACCCCATGCTCTTACGGAGGGAATTCCCCCCCCCCCCCACATCTCTTCATTTACTCATTAATGGTTTCACTACCATAGTACGTTTTTTTTTTAAATAAAATTGGAGCGGAAAGAACGCGCGTACTCGGATAAACTCAACTCTTCAGTCGCGTACGCTATCGTAATATTTATTTCAGTGAATGAGAAAAAAAAAAGTGAGGAAAAAAATATTCTATTCGTCAGTTGGTGTACAGGATTGACATTAATTTGAGGGAGAAGTTTTTAACGAATAGAATGAGACACATGGGTCTCGTATAAATGAGGATTACTGACGATTATGACCGAGATATGTAATGAGAATAATTTTCAGATGTTCATTGAGAACGTTTGTTGTCTTAAAATAGCGTGCAACACACTGGCCAGGAATGTAAGGGCAAAGCCATGGAGTTTTATTGTTGTCGAGGGGCGCCGGGGCCCTGAGACTAATTCTATCTGAATTGAGACTTGTGAGATAATATCACGGTTATTTTTACGTTATAAATGCGTTATAAATTTTATACAAGCACCTAAATAAACAAACAAATTTTATATATTTTATTTTTGGGGGATTGAGATTCATAGGGAATCCGGTTTCCCACGCTTTCAGGCGCGTCCGCCAACGACTCTAATCGCCTGCGACTGAGAAAGCCAAGGGGAAAAAAGCAAAAAATAAAAATGAAAAAGAAAACACAAATAAGAAAGAATGAAAAATAAGAAGAAAGTGAGATTCCTGAGGAAATTATGACATTTCAGTTGGTTCCTTATCTAGAGTCGTCGCCCCGAGATATCAGTGTTGTACTCTTCTATTTATTCTCCTTTTACATTTTTATTTACTCACATACTTGTCTCGCATTTTCAATGCATTCATGAAACCCCACTGAATGATTTCACGATGCTCCAGATTTCTGATCCCCTCCCCCTCCCTGAATTGAGAAAAAATAAATGGAAATGAAGAAATAGCTCTAGACCCAGCGATAAAATTGATGAAATGACATTTCCCTGTGGATGGGGTGCCTGAATCAAAGTAGTCCAGTGGCCCCTATCCGTGGATAACTCGGGGTATTAAAAAATCCTCTGTTTCAATTCTTAACGTCATTAATGGACAGATAGTGGCATTCGAGTGCACAAGGTGAGGATGAAAAAGCAACGAGCAAGAATAAAACACTATTTTCCCACATCCTCACACTTCCCAAAGACGTCATACCTTTTCTGACGTACCATTGCCTTCTCTGAACTTCAGAGTAAAAGTTATCGTTTAGCGGATAAAAACTCGTCAGTACCATACGAGTACTCGAAAGAAAATCGTATAAATAACGTTTCAACGATTGCCGTTGAAAAATCAAGTGAAAAAAAAAAAGTCAATGGATTGATAAATTCCTCGTCATTGAATTCAGCATTTTCAATTGCACCATCTCGTTAGGGTGATTTCTCATTCCATTTTCGTTACTTTGGACTTTTTAGTTTTCCACATCACTTCGGAGGATTCTATTCTTTAGAGGCCATTTGCCATGTTGGAAGGAAAATGGGGAAACTTGAGTGGTGCAGAAGTAACCACTGCTTCGAGAGCAGGAATTCGTCGTTCAAATTAATCGATCTTTTCAAAAGCTTGACATTCCAACGGATGAGTCCCTCCTCTCCTTCGTTTTCATTAAGGAGAACGAATTCTACTACCAATTGTCACCCTTAACTATCATTTTTAGCTCTAATTAAAAATCTAATGTAACGCCTTTTACAGGTAATCTATTCTCCCTTAAAAAGCTCAGTACATACATTACATCTAATTGCCACCATTATATTTATTTTGAATGCATATAGTCTTGATGATCATTCCCATTGTGAAGATGGTATTAAAAAAATGATGATGGTAATTTGTAATAATTGCACGAAGAACTTGAATAATGTGTAAAGTGGTAAAATCAAATAAATCGAATTGAACATTTTTCTCAATTAGTAATTCACCTTGAATTTACTCGAAAACTATCAATATAACGCGAAAACATTAAAGGACTTTTTTATAGTTCATTAAATTTCCTACAAAAAACGTTCCCACATACTTCCTCCTAAAATCAATAGTTTTTAGAATTAATTGATGTTTAATAGAACCGCGAATTCCAGTCGAATCCTCCCTAATTACAATACCAAATTACTCTATCCAGAGTAAAAAAATCAATAAAAAAAGTAGTCATTGCTGATGCAAATATAATCAATGGAATTTCAATACTATCGATAATACCCCAACGATTCTGATGCCATACGAGGCTCAGATGCTGATCTACTTAATCATTAAAAAAACCGAATGAGAAGAGCTCAAACCGACTGCTCCGAGTCTGTAATAATGATAAAAATAATGACTACAAGAACAAATTTATCAAATATTTCCATTCCCCAAGATTATATTTGATATATCATCTACACATTATACACCAAGTCCCGAAAGTCCGAATATCAAGAGCGGGGCGTTACGTAAAACCGTAAAAGTCGGATCAATGAATAAAGTTTATCTATCAATAAAAAAAAAGGGATAGTACGATAGTACGTAGTAGATATGATGATTATGGATTTAGAATCCAAACGGCGGATGCGGCGTCGGTTGGCATCTTGGAAGGGTCTGTTCTCGGGTCTGTAAACTCTAACGAGTGCCACACAAACACAGACTGCGAGACGTAAGGGGGGCAATAGTGGGGCAAAAGGGGAGTGAGGGGGATTGGGGAGGAGGAATCAAAA